CAGCCTACTCCAAGCTTACCACCATGAAATCAAGCACAAGTGTCCTTCCTACACTCAGATTCCTGTTGACAGGAACCTGTCTTTGTTAAATATGCAACACTTTGTACAGACCAGGGACTCAGGTTCTCACAGCATGCCCTGGTTTCAGGCCGGTGCCAGCTGTGACAGGAAGACCAAGGACTTAAGGTTAGAGGGTCACTATCAGGAGAGCTGGCACTGGAACCCAGGTGACAGTGTGATGCCAGAAGAAGCGTAAGTATGTGTTCAGGCTATGAATCCTGGTCGTGACTGATGGCCAGGGCAAGCCATTCAACATGCCATTTAGAGCAAGACACAGTAGAGTGGTAAGAAGGGAAGAGGGGCTGGCAAGATGGCTCCACGCCTGGTGCCCTGTGTCCAACTTTAGGACCCACGCGGTAGCAGGAGAAAATCAATTCCCTTGAGTTGTCCTCTGGTCTCCATATTCACATCATGAAAAATGCATACCTACCCACCCACCCACCTAAGTAAATAAATAATTTTAACAAGAAAGTAAGGAATTAGCAATTTGTGAGATTGGTGATGGTCATCAGAACTTGGATGGGGACACATTTAGAATCTTTTTGTTTATCATCATCATTATTAATTTATTATTATTATTATTATTATTTGAGCCAATGAGTTTATTGGACTTATAGAAGCATGAAGACCCCAAAACAGTTGTAGCAGCACAAAATTCACCCCATTATGGATAATATAATGAAAGCCACATTATAGAATTTCCCTGTCTGTCCTCTTCCTGTATGCTCTAACATCTCCAGAGATCACATACAGCTGGTAGGGGCAGGAGATGAATTTTATTCTTGTTAAGTTTGACTCTCTAAGGACTATAAAGCAGCTGGGAAAGAAGTCAGACCTTTATTCCTCTGACTGTGCCATACGGCAAATCCAGCTGGTAAAAGCTAAGCATCCTATAATCTGATAATAAAACACCGAACTCAGTCTAGAGATGCAGCTCAGTTGATAGAGTGCTTGCCTAGCATGGATAAAGCCCTGGGTCTGGATTGTGATGGGCAGCGTGTATGGGGTCCTAGTCCCCAAGGCTACAACTAGGTGATGTGTGAGTTGCAGGGTACGTGTGTGTGTGTGTGTGTGTGTGTGTGTGTGTGTGTGTGTGTGTGTGTGTGTAGGCATGTGTAGGCTAGAAGACAACCTTAGGTGTCATTTCTTACTTTTGAGGCAGGGTATGATGGTGAATCTATTTTTTAAAGATTCATTTTATTTTCAATTACAGGTGCCAGTGCTTGAAGAAGCCAGATGTATTAGGTTACCCTGGATCTGGAGTTACAGGTAATTGTGAACCTCCTGGTATGGATGCTGGGAACAGAGCAGTGTGTGCTCTTAACTAGTGAGCTAACTCAGTGATAGTGTTGTGGGAATCTTTCTGGATAGGTACTCTGACACCAATGAGAGTGGAAGAGAGATGTCACCAGTGGGTGGACCGAAGCTAGGACAGCTCCTAAAAGGCTTTGATCTTGGATCTAGTTTGTAGTCTCATTTTATACTCTAAAACCACAAGGTGAGGCAGGCAAGCAAGTGAGAGTTTTTTCAGAAGCACACTGGCAATCAGTAGATTGTTAAGGGCAACAGCCCATTATTTCAGCTATTTCTCCAGGTCATTCTGCTTCAGGTAGCAAGTGAAGTCATACTTGGTAAATGGGCAGTACAAGCAGTGTTTTAAGTAAAACATCAAATAAAACCAATATCTAGCCGGGCGGTGGTGGCGCACGCCTTTAATCCCAGCACTCGGGAGGCAGAGGCAGGCGGATCTCTGTGAGTTCGAGGCCAGCCTGGTCTACAGAGCGAGATCCAGGAAAGGCGCAAAGCTACACAGAGAAACCCTGTCTTGAAAAAACCAAAAAAAGAAAAAAAAAACAATATCTAATAATTAGTCTTCTCTTCTTCAATGGTTAATCTTAATTGTGAACTTGGTGAAATCTAAAATGACCTAGGAAATAGACCCCTGTAGGATTTGCCTTGATTAGGTTGATTGAGTTGGGAAGACCAGCCCACTGTGTGTGGAACCGTTCCCTGGGCTGATGTTGTGGACCATATAAAGGAGAGAGTGAGATAAGCACAAGTACTCATCATTTTCTGGTTGTGATTACCATGTGACCAGCTGCTTCAACCTTCTGCTGCCTTGATTTCCTCACCATGATAGACTCTATCTTTGAACTATAAGCTAAACTAAATACTTTCTCCTTTACATTGTTTTTTTTTTCAAGGTATTTTATTCTAGCAACAGGAAAAAAAATAAGTTGCAGAGTTTCTAATTTTTCTGGAGCTCACCAGGTAGGCTAGGTGGCTGACCAGAAAGCCCCTGGGATCCACGTGCTATAGTTAAGTGTTCACCATGCTCAAAATTTTACATGGGTTCTGCAGATTGAACTAAAGTCCACATGCTTCCAAGGAAAACACTTTTTCTATTTTTATTTTGTTTTTTTATATGTATGTGCCTAATTTTAAGTATTGAAAATATGCAGGTGGGTGGGAAATAACCAGATCTGGCTGCTGTAAATTGTTCAAGGTAACCAGGAGAATTCCTGGAAGCACTTTTCGCCCATAGCCTCTGTTTCCAATCTAATTTCCTCCTCTTCCTAGATGTTCCAGTTCCAGACAACATCAGATCTCCCATCCAGTTTCTCTCTCTCTCTCTCAGGGCAGAAACGTTAAATTTAAATGTTAACCTAAGACAAGAGATGAACAACATAACTTAGGATGTAGAGAGAGCATCCCAGGAGAGTTGGGGAAAAGCAGAAGTCCCTGGGATTACCCCCAAGCCAACAGTCACCTTTTCAGGCCACTTATTCTTGTTTGTTCGTTTGGTCTTTTGAGATGGGCCTAAGCTGTCAGGGGCATGGTCATTAGGGTCTCAAAGGGCCTGAGATCAGCAGTGTTGGCTCTTCTTGTTCTACCCTCAAAGCCGTGTGACTATTGCAGTCCTTTACAGGAGAGTCAGTAATCCTTTCCAGAAACGTCTATATGCCAGATGATGCACCAGGTGCTAGGGACTGATTGGAGGAGACAGGCAGGTTGGCAGTGACTGTCACAGGAAAAAATTCAGAAAAAACTCAGGAAGCCACCCTAGGAACATAAGGGGAAAGTGTTCAGGGTTAGCTTTCTTAATCTTTTAAATGAAATTACTTTCTATTTCCCATTTCAAAATTTTAAAAGAATTAGCACCAAATTATGAGCCTGTCCACAATGTTCCATGCTTTAGTTCCTGGGTTGGCCTTCTGTTAGGGACAGCCCCTCTTTCCATAGCTACCCTAGCTCTTCATCAGCCGACTTCAGAGGTACCAACCTCCCAGCCAGGCATCTGACACTAACCATGGCTCTCGGCAGAGCAGGTGGGTATCTACAGGTTAGAAGAGACTGTGAGCAGCACAGCATCACTCCATCAAAGGAAGACCAAGAGACTAGACTCAGCCAGTCTGGGCCCCTTAGGAATAGTAAGACAGAGGAATGAATGGTATAAGATGTGGACGCCAGGTCTGGGGAGGATTCTGAGCTTCATCCTCACTGATTTCAGTGTTTCTGTGGTCATGAGAGGAGCCATGGCTGAGGTAAGGGATCACCAGGGGCAATTCAAGAAAGGACATCGTGAGAAAGGACACCCCTACCGCGCATGGGACTCTGTGTCATGCCCCACATCCACTCAGTAGTTACATCTGAGATATTACTTCCTAACATATGACCTAGGACTATAGATTCCAGATGTCAACAAGAAAATAGAGATTAAAGAGAAATGCCAAGACTTGAGTCTGCCATACATGAAAGAGAAAAACAAGTTAAGTGATACCATGAAGAAAGACTCTTGGGAAATCCAAAGCATTGTACAAAGAAACTAGTCCTCTTCTCTCAAGCAGGCTGAAGGGACATTCTAGAATAACACAGACTGGAGGCCCAACAGCCAATACAGTGCTCACACCATGAGCTGAATCTGACACAGAACCAGGTCTAACAGTCATTGAGGGGGACAGTTAGAGTACTCTGAATATGAACTGTCTTGATATTTCCTCAGTTCTCTAAGATATGCTGCTCAGTGTGCAGACTGGATCTGTCAAGGTCTCCCACCCTTAGTACCGTGAGCCACATTAGACACACCCAGAGAAGGCTTTGTGTCATATTCCTATACATAAAGGAATCTGCATAGCTTCCAAACAGTTTTCTTCTCTGTTTTATAGAATATATCTATCAGAAATATCTAAAATCAGTTTAGATTTATTTACCAAGCCTTCTGTAAGTACTCGCAATTATCAATTATCAATTTCTTGAAAAATTACATAGGCAACTCCCAGGTGATGGGGACAACCTAAGGCAATGAAAGAGGGAAGGCAAGAGGCCGTTCAGCACTGCATCCTTCTTCTCTCTACACAAGGCCATCCAGATCAATGCCAAGCCTAGGAGAGGTTGGAGGTTTGTCAGTTTCTAATTAACAAAGAAAATCTTGGTGGAGGGCCCAGAATGTCTCAATAAGTGGCCAATTTTATCTCACTAACTTCTGTTATTTGATTCTAAAGCTTCTGTTTAAGAGTGGAGGTGCAAAAATATCCAACTGACAATCCTGTCCCTAAGACTTAAACAGCAGACTGCACTTCACAGTGTTATTTTATAGATACATCATATTGAAGAGACACCACATCTCCCAAGAGGGCAGATTTTCCTTTGTATCTGAGCCTGCCTCTTGCTGAGGGGAATGTTAAAGTGTCCACCATTGTGGGAACCCACATACCTGTAAGGTTGGCAAAGTATAAACTGTCATTCTTACTTTGTAGACCTTATAAAATAAAAATGTTGAGTATATAGAGAGAGAGCACATATTTTACTTCATAATTACATTTTTGCAAAGATACAAAATAAACATATAAAATTTAGGAAACTGATATCCACAAAGGTGTCAACTACTAAGTGCCTGCAAAGAGAGAGAGAAGAATGTCTCGGTGGTTGAGAGCACTTACTTGTCTTGCAAAGGACCCAAATTTGGTTCCCAGAACCCAAGAGTAGGTCACAGCTTCCTGTAACTCCAGCTCCAAAGGATCTGGTGCCCTCTTCTTTCCTCCACTGGCTCCTGCATGCACATAAACTCATGTAGGAAAACATATACAACATGGCAGTGAAATAAATAAATACATCTTTAAAAAAATGGATACCTACAGAGCTGGCAGAATTGGAGAGACAGACATCAAGCTCCCTGGAGCTCACTGGCCAGCCAGCCTAACTGAATGGGTGAACTTCAGGTTCAATGATAGACCTTGTTTCAAAAAATCGTGTGGCAATCTGGCCTCCACATATACATGTACACATATGGGTGCATAAAAAAGTAAATAAATGAATAAATAAATAATTAAAAAGTAAATCCATGTTCATGAAACAGCAGTAAAGTTATCTGTTAATCCATCTTCCTTAGCAGCAATTTCTTGCAAAGTAGAGGAATAATTTGAATGTAGCCAGTACCAGTACTTGAGTCTATTAAGATGTGGGACTGTGGTAGTTTGAATGTATTTGGTCCCCATAAGCTCATAGGGAGTGGCATTATTAGGAGATGTGGCTTTGTTGGAGTGAGTATAGCATTGCTGGAGGAAAAGTGTTACTGTGGGGGCAGGCTTTGAGGTTTCCTATGCTTAGGATACTACCCAGTGAGTCAGTCAACTTCCTGTTGCCTCTGAGTCAAGATGTAGGACTCTCAGCTCCTTGAGCACATCTGCCTGCATGCCATCATGCTCCCTGCCATGACGATAAATGGACTGAATTTCTGAAACTGTAAGGGAGCCCCCTCATTTAATGTTCTCCTTGTAAGAGTTGCCATGGTCATGGTGTCTCTTCACAGTAATAGTAACCCTAACTAAGACAGGGGCTGTAGATACCTTCCCTCTCAGAGGGCAGTGACTGCCCACAACCCATCTATGGGAAGCTAAGTCGGCTGAACTTGATCTCCAGCCCTTGCTTCATATTCCAACAGCATATTGGTCTGATGGGAACATTTTCTCAACTGAGATCTCTTCTCAAATGACTCTAATTTGCATCAGGTTGGCACAAAATTAACCAACACACTGTGTTAGATTGAACAGTGTGGTGGTCTCCCTCAAATTCAGGTCTACTTGGGTCTTATTTGGAAATAGGGTTTTTGTATATGTTTTATGTAATTATTAAGATGAAGTAATCCTGCATTAGCATGGGCTCTATACTTAAATCTGGTGCCTGTATAAGGCCATGTGATGTTTGTTGTTTTACTCTTTTTACTCTTTTGTTCTTTAGCTCTTTTGAGAACCCAACACCCAGCTCCCAAATGAATCCCACACGGAGGCTTATTATTACTTATAAATGCCCTGCCATAGCTTGGCTTATTTCTAGCCAGCTTTTCTTAACTTAAATTATTCCATCGACCTTTTGCCTCTGGACTTTTCCTTTTTTTACTTCTGTATATCTTACTTTCACTCTTACTCCATGGCTGGCTGTGTGGCTGTGTGGCTGTGTGGCTGGCCCCTAGTGTCTTCCTCTCCTTGTTCTCATGCACCTTCCTCCTCTCAGAGTTCTCCTTCTATTTATTCTCTCTGCCTGCCAGCCCTGCTATTGGCCCCGCTATTGGCCTTGCTATTGGCCATTCAGCTCTTTAAGAGACCATCAGGTGTTTTAGACAGACAAAGTAACACAGCCTCACAGAGTTAAACAAATGCAATATAAAAGAATGCAACACATCTTTGCATCATTAAACAAATATATCACAGTATAAACAAATGTAACACATCTTAAAATAATATTCTACAACAGCCATATGTGCACACAGAGGCACAAATACAAGGGAGATGACTTGAGCTGATGAAGGCAGAAACGAGAGTGATGGAATTAATACAAGTACCTGGGGTTGCCAGATACCACCCGAAGGTAGGGCGGAGTGAGGAAGATATTCTCCAGAGATTTCGTAAAGAACATGGGACACCTTGACTGAATTTGTAAGCTTCAGAACTGAAGAATTAATTTCTTATTTAAGTCCCCACTTGTGGAATTTTGTGATGGCAGCTGAGCAGGCAGCCTTGTCACGAGCCATAAACAGCCTGGACCTATTGCCTCTGGTGGGAATCGTGGTGCCAGATGGAATGGACAGAAGGCTGCCAAGGGGGGAGCAATATAATGAAGTCAGAGGGACAGTGTCTATATTGTAGCTTTTTGTTGTAGGCTGTCTACTTGGCCTACATTCAAGAAGAGGCTCTTTAAGAAAAAAAAAAAAAAAAGTCCTCTAACCAAATCTGTTCTGGAAGGCTTTGAGGCAACCTGCTGCATCTCTCAGTTCTCTCCTCCAGAGGGAACAGCCTTGTGCGTCACCAGCTACCCAGGAAATAGCAGAACTGGTGCTGGGAAAGATCATGTGGGAAGAGAAAGGTTCAAGGTTCTTCAACCTGGCAGGTGGGCACAGTCACAGCCACAGGACAGGAGCACTTAGAAATCTGGGTCAATTCAGAAACCTCCTGCCAGAGTGAGCTACTGTCTCCAGGCCTACACCGAGCTCCAAGTTAACCAATCCATTTCATACTAGGACCCAAGAGGTGTCCTGGCCTGAAATGACTTGGCTCTTTTCCTTGTCAGAAACAGGTTTGGAAATAACTAATCTGGCAAGCAGTGACTGAAAATTCTTGTGTGAGTACCATAATGACTCCTGTAAGGAAATAAAAATACGAAGGACACAAAGTCCCACCTCTGGTGAGCTGTTGATAAAAAAATATGAACTAGATTGTGAATTCTCAAGTTTTCCAGAATGAATCCTTTCACATTTTCTCCCCTCCCCCGCACTCCTGCAAACAACACAAGACTCATAGAGGCTAAAGGGTTCATCCTGCTCTAGCCAACATTACTGGGCCTCACCCATAAAAGGACTGTATCCAGAGTTCAGGTCCAAGTTTCCTGTCCTTACTCCGGTGATTTCACATGTAAACATATTAGGAGGTGGAGTAGGGGCATCAGTGGCACAAGGCAGTTGAAACCCTGAGACAAATTTACAGATTGGTCTTTCCATGGAGAGAGGGGGTGTGCAGACTGCTCCAGTGCCTATGGAGTTGGGAAGGAGGCGGGAGTTAGGGGATGTAGCAGGGGAGAAAGTGCAGAACCTTGGATGTGCTCTTCCAACACTGTTCCCAAAGATGCAGAAATGAAAGATGGGAAAGACTCTTCATGGCTTCAGTGATGAGGAATGGGTAGGAAGGGGGTGGGGATGACAAAATTCCTGCAATTCTGACTGCACTAGCCAGGTTTAGTTCATGCATCAGAACTGTCAGTGCTCTCCAGGAATTCAGAGATGTCTGTGTTCACAGTCTTATGTTGGTATTTATTTCTCCTCCCTGCTTTAAAAAAAGTACATAGAGCCCATAAGCTAGAAGCTTGGATGATATCAATAAGATAAAAAGAAAAAGAAGCTGATCCCCAGTGTTCATTTCTGCTGTGTGACTTCCCGAGAAGACATGAACAAATATATCCTCCCCAGATAGGCACCAATGACAAGCCAAAGAAATTATGGCACCCAAGTCTAGTTTTGTAAACCAGTGATTTGAGGGTAGAGGTTACTTAGAGAAGGATGGGTGACTGGCAGGCAGCTGCCTCACTGAAAAGCACAGTTTTCTGGAAGCTCTGTGGAAGAGGATCTTCTTCCCAACAATTGTTTTCTGTTTTCATAACCCTGGGGAAGGGCTTTGTGAGGCTTGTAACTCTCGTGCTATCCCTAACCATAAGGCTTATAGGCCTTCAGAACTGACATGGGGAGAAATATGGAAGAGTTCAGAGCTGTGGACTAGAGAATTCTTAGAATGATATAGGCAAAGCTTAATGAACTGTTCCCTTGGGCGCTTGGAAGACCAGGATGCTGACAGGAATGTGCACAATGGAGGCTGGGCTTGTGAGGTTTCAGAAAGGGCAGTATCAGGAATTCAGCTAGAGATCATTTGTGTTACATGTTACATGCTACATTTGTGTTACATGTTACATGCTTACAAAGGATCTGACAGCATCTGTCTCTGTTCTGAAACTGTGAGTGAGGCTCATTCAAAAGTAATGGATTAAGTTGTTTGGTGAAGGAAATTCTGACATAGGGCAGCATTCAGGTTGTGGCATGGTTACTGGTCACTGCCCTCCATCAGATTTACAATGAGAAGTAGCAGAATAATATGAAAAATGTCAGTTTGATGAGGAAAGAATTGCCAACAGAGTTAAAGTTGCAGGTAGGATGGGGGCTATAAAAGAGGGTGATAGAAAGGGTACCTTAAAGCAAACACTACACATAGAGAACTTGGGGTGTAATGATGCAGACTCATTTGGATTTTTTTTAATTGAAAAAAGAGTACTTGAGTAAAGAGAGCCTCTTGGGCATCCTTCCTGAGCAGGGCCACTAAGGGAAGTGTTTTACTAGGTTCATCTTTGAAGGGACACAGTTGACACTGCACTGTTGTCCAAGGGGACCACACTACAACTCAAACTTTCCTTGGTGTCATCTTCGTGGTGCTAGTTTTTCATACATGCAAAGCACAAGAATTCTGGGGTCATAGAGGTTTGCACCAAGGTTCCTGAAAGCCCCTGAGGCCATGCAAAGCAGGCTCAGATTCCCTGCATGGAGCCCCTGAGTAAGTTGTGTGAAAATCTAGAAATGTAAAGCCTAAGTTGCAATGGAGACTCCCTGATAGTGGAAATATCAGAAGTGTGGCATAGTCAAAAGGCATGGAGTGAAGTCAGTTCATGAAAATGGTCACACATGCTATACGCAACTGAATATGAGGGGCAAGGGTGCCAAAGCCCACTGGAGTAGAGATTATGTCTTAACTCTTAGGTCTCAAACCCAGGACAAATGACTGAGGTTCCTATTTAACATATTAAAGCCAACCTGACTGCCAGGTTCTCCCAGCATCCCTCAGTCCCTACCTGCTATAGGGTATGCCAGCCATACTCTGCCCCCTACCCTGAACTATCCAGCCCAGGGTCTGGGTTGCCCTTCTCCCTGCAGGTCTTCCTTATATAATCCAACTGTTTTGGCTATACTGGCCCTTTTACCTTTTTTGCCCTTTACTCTCCTGGCCTCTTGGTCTCCTAGTCTCCTGACTCTCCCCTCTCTCCTCTCCTCACATAGCCCAGCTCAGTCTAGCCATGTTCGCTCTAGACTCTCCCAGATATCTCTGCCTCTGGCTATGCTCTTTTTCATATCTACAATTAAACCTTCTCCTCCACCATACCTAGGAACAATCATGTCCTCCTTTTTATTTCTCTTTTCATTCAATAACCACAAGACCCATATGCTGGACATAGATCCTCTCGGTTTAGTGTTCACCCTGTTGGCTTCAGTGTTGTCTGGCCTGATCTTTCCTCGCTAAACCACCATTCTTCCCTTTTGGAATGGGATTGTTTGATCTGCACCAATGTATATTAGATGTATACAACTTGTATGAGTTGTTTTATTTTACAAAGGCTCACAGCTAAGAATTTGTCTTGAGTCTCAGAAGAGACTTTGGACCTTTGAACAATGTTGGAATTGTAAGTGTACAAGAACTTTGGAAGTTGGACTGAAAGTATTATCATATGGTCGTAAGTTTATGGGGCCAGGAGTGCAATGTTGTGTTTGGATGTGCAGTGTTCCTACAGGCTCTAGGTTCCCCATTTGTGGAGAGGTTGGGGAGGTTGTAGGACCATTAGGAGGAGGGACTTAGCTGAAGGAAACGGTCAGTGGTGGTGGGGAGTGAGGAGTTATAGCCTTACCCCACATCCTGTTCTGCCTGTATTTTACCTACCCAGAGGTGAGCAAGCTCCTGCTGCCATTAAGTCCATCCTGTGCCATGCTTTCCTTGTCTGATAGACAGTGTTCTCTCAAATTATGAGCCAAAATGAACTGTTCCTCCTCAAAAAACAAAACAACAGCCGGGCGTTGGTGGCGCACGCCTGTAATCCCAGCACTCGGGAGGCAGAGCCAGGCGGATCTCTGTGAGTTCGAGGCCAGCCTGGTCTACAGAGTGAGTTCCAGGAAAGGCGCAAAGCTACACAGAGAAACCCTGTCTCGAAAAACCAAAAAAAAAAAAAAACAACAACAAAAAGGACGCAGACACCTCAGGAATTCTAAGCAGGGCACAGGTCACATGAGACTATGCAGAGACTGCAAAGGTCTGTGTAAGAACAGAGGCTCCAAGGACACTGAATGTGTGTTTTGTGTGCATGTTTAAAATTAGGAATCCTTGTTAGACATAGTGGATCATACTTGCAATCTCAAAATTCAGGAGACTGAGGTAGGAGGATCATGAGTTTAAAGCCATCCCAGGCTAGATATTGAATTTCAGGGTAGCCTGGATGCTTAGCAAAACACTGTCAAAAATCAGAACCAAAGCCAGAGTTCTTTATGTACAGTAAGGCTGAGCCTTTGACATTAGAGCTTCATGAACTTTGACAGGTGTACATGATTGAGTGACCATCGCCACAAACAAGATTCATAACAGTTTTCTCACCCAAAAAATATCCTCAGGGGACTCTTAACATAGTTCCAGTGGCATAATTTAGGCTCCACTAAATGTGTCCTGTTTGCAGTCAAGACCACTTTCCTGAGAATTGGAAGGATGATTTCCCTGCTCTGCCTCATTAGAGACACTGTTGAAACAGCCAAGTTGCTAATGTCACTTCTCTTGCCCCTCCTGAGACCAATTTTCTGGACCTGAACAGCACCCACAGTCAATACCTCCTACAGACACTGAAGCAACTTCTGTGGGAGGAAAAAAAATCACCTGCTTCCCAGAGCAGCCACAAGCACTTTCCTTGCCAGCTGTTCCAAGCACCTGAGAAATAAGCTCATTGTTTTGGAGGTCACAGGATTCTCTTCCAATTAGGGTTTCATCATGCCAGCTACTTCCCATACAGTAGACAATCAGAATGGGCTTCTAGGGCAGACAGGCTGTCTTGCAGCAGCAGCAGCAGCAGCAGCAGCAGCAGCAACCATTTAGCAACTTTCTGGCTCCTTCCCAAAGCAGATGGTGCCACGGACAACAGTGCATTTCCACCTTCAGATCAGTGTAGGGAGAGAGAAGGACAAGGGAAAGGGATCCCCTCAAGACCAGCCTCTTTCCTGGGTGAGACGGACAGTATAGGGAGGGGCCTTCCACCTCTTACCTTTCAGACTAGCAAGGTGAGCTGCCTGGTGTGGTCCGGAGGCCTGTGGGCTTCAACATCCCCTCCCCTAGTATGTTCACACCTCATTTTATTTTGCCTCAGTTTCAACACCAGGGAGGAGACCTGTGACAAGCTAAGCGGCAGGAACACAATGCACAGGGAGCAGTGCATGTGTGGGAGTGCATTTAACAAAATGCTCTCATGTAAAGAGGCCTTACAAGAAAATGGAGAGTGGCGGGGGTATGCTTAGGGCCAATGGTGAAGTCAATGAAACCCCTAGCTCAAACAATTCTGCCTCTGTGAGGAAATTTTGTTTTGTTTTGTTTGTTTTTTGAGACAGGGTTTCTCTGTGTAACAATCCTGGCTGTCCTGTAACTCACTCTGTAGACCAGGCTGGCCTTGAACTCACAGAGAGCTGCCTGCTTCTGCCTCCTGATTGCTGGTATTAAAGGCATGCACCACCACCACCTGACTTTCTGCCTCTGTTAATCCCACTTGTCTTACATGTCTGCCTGCTTTCTGTTCCCAAGTCCCTAAGGATCAGCTGTCCTGAGCTTTAGAATGATTATAATCAGGCACCCTATACAAACACACTAGCATGCACATATACCAGAACTATGGGCCTTCAGAGGAAGATAAGCTGCTAACCTCAGTTCTTTACTAACCCAAACCATGGTCCAGGCCTATCCAGAAACTGTGGCAGACTCCTGGGCTGTGATACCCAGGAAACCACATTCCTCTCAGATGACACCTGCATGAGTCCTCATCAGGCCAGCTAACTTCTTAGTTAGAAAGTCCTTAAGTCAAAAGCAAATACGAAAATCTGTGGCCAGAGCCGTGAGAGGGGCCTCTGTAGGAAGGTAAGCTGGATGGTGGACTGCATAAAGTCATCAGTTTCAGTAATGTTGATGGGCTTTGGGGGCTAGTGGGCACACAATGGGAAGAGGGTGCCTCTTTTTACATGGTGGACAGTTCTGTGTGGATTTTCGTAGGGGTCAGAGATAAACTATCTCTGTACAGGTTAGTTTGCACAGAAAAGGAGTGCTAGGGAAGTTCCTTGCTGTCACTGAGGATAGATTTGGGATGGACAGTCACTCCTAGGCAGTAAGACCACAAGTGTCAGAGCAAACAGGAATACAAAACAGTAGCACGGTAAGCACATACCTGCAATCCCAGCGCTTGGGAGGCAGAGGAGGAGATCAGAAATTCAAGGTCATCCTTGGTTCATGGCCAATTTGAGTCCAGCCTGGAATACATAAAACAATGCCTTAAAAAAAACCTGAACAGTACCGCCCAGAAAACATAGATAAGGCAGTGGGGTTCTAGACAGACAAATTCAGAGAGAACATAGTGGGAACAGAGTCCCAATCACTTCACACTGCCTACCCAGTCACCTCTCCTCTCAGGGCCCTGATGACCAAGAAACCCACATTCCCTCAGGCTGTTCTAAGACCCGCAGTCATTGCCACCATGTTGAGTCTGTTATTTCTCAGACACCACGCTTGCCACAATCCTGGATGCTTTCTCCCTGAGATGGAATATAAGACTTCTCCACTCCTCCCCTTTCACTCCACTAGTTTTTCTTAGCTGCAGGTGGCTCAAAATCTTCAGAAAGAAACGCCAGTGATTCTAAGGGAGGAGTGGGTGAGTGTCATGGTCATCCAGCAGCTCATTTCATCCCCATGGATGAATCTGGCTCTTTTCTCCCTAGTGAATACACCATATGCTGCAGCTGGATTTTCTAGCCCATCAGACCCAGAGTGTGTGTCTCTTCCCAACTCTATTCAGTAGTATCATGGGACAGCTTGAGTTGGGCCATGGTGGGGGTATTTATACCACAGGAGTGGGCAAGCTAAGCTGCACACCAAGGTTCTTACTCTCCCCTCTGGGCTTGAGGCCAGGCTTCCCACAGAGTAACTCAGCACCATAGAAACAGGCCATCTCCTTTCCACGGATTCACACTCTCCAAATCTCAGGTTTCTTTTTTCTTAGGGGATGCCCCTGGGCTATCCATGAAGTGGGGTAACATACAAAACACAGTTCTCATCTCAAAGGGAATTAAGACAGTTTATTCTTGAACCAAATATGTGTGACTGTGATTTGAGAACACAGACTTGGGTTGACAAGAATAATGTGTTTCAATATGGAAAATCTTTCATGAACTTTTCATATATACAGGAAAAAAAATACAGTCATAAACCAGGACATTTTTCAAACTTAATGGTGGAAACATCAGGTAGATGGTGTTGTGGAATAATTGTTTAACTATGCAAAGATGTCTTGCATTTGTTTAACTATGTAAAGATGTGTTGTAATTGTTTAACTATGTAGGATGTGATGCTGTTTTACCTTGCCTGCCTAAGGTATCTGATTGGGCTAATAAAAAGCTTAATGGCCAATAGTGAAGGAGGAGGTATAGGCAGGATTTCTGGGCAGGGAGAGTAAGTAGGAAGAGAAATTTAAGCTCAAGAAAGAAAAAAGAAAAAGAGATGCCAGGGGCCAGCCAGATAGACACAGAGGAAGCAGAAAAGGAGGACATACAGAATGTAAGAAAAGTAAAAAGCCCCAGGCAAAATGTAGATGAATAGAAACAGGTTAAATTGGGGCTGGAGTGATGGCTCAGTGGTTAACAGCATTGACTGTCCTTCCAGAGGACCCAGGTTCAATTTCCAGCACCCATGTGGCAGCTCACAACTGTCTGTAATTCCAGTTCCAGGAGACCCAACACCCAGAGAGAAAAAAAAAAAAAAGAAACAGGTTAAATTAAGTTAAAAGAGGTAGTGGTGTAAATGGAGTTTTTGTCTGCCCTGTCCCACAGCCACTTCCAAATAATCACAATTATAAATGCTTGACCATGGCTCAGGCTTATTACTAACTAGCTGTTACATTTAAATTAACCCATTTCTATTCATCTATGCTAGAGGTCAATCTCTAGTGTCATTCCTCAGGGGCCATCAACCTTGTTTTTTAAGACAAAGTCTCTCACTGAGTTCTGGGGCTCCACAATGCAGCTAGACTTGCCAGCCAGCAAGCCCCAAGGATCTACCTGTGTCTGCCTCCCTAGCACTGGGAATAGAAGTGAACTCAAGGCCTCGGGTTTGTGCAGCAAACTCTGTACCAGCCAAGCTGTCTTCTCAGCCCCAAGGACCTCTTTTTATATGTGGTCTGGCAATCATCTGTTTGCATCTTAATCTTTCAAAGAGAATTCAATTCCCTGCACATTTCTCCTTAGCTATTCAGCCTGATCCTCACTTCTACCAAGCAACCTGATGTCACAGTTTCCATGTGATATGAAATATATCCCCCCCCTCCCACTATCTCCCCCCCCCCCCCCCCCCGCATGCACACGCTCCCAGCATCTAGAGGAGACAAGTGATGGAGCTCCTGCGGTGATGCTGTCTATGGGGACTCTGGAATGGAGCTTTTCTACCATTTATGTGCCAATCCATCATCAGTCATGTCTACAGAGGAAAATTCACCTCTGAGTCACGAAGAACCCGTATCCTCCTCACCCCATCCCCCACTTCTGCAGGGCTGTTCAGTCACAACCCTGAAGTTTACGTTTCACCCCGGGACCTCCTGATGCCGTGGGATGAAGCAATTTCCAAGGGCGTTCTGTCTTCCATTCCTTTACATGGGTAATACTCCGTGCTGTCCATACAGAGGCCCCCAGAGTCATCCTTCCGCTGCCAACTCATTATCACATTCAGTCTTTACCAAGTCCTATCAATTCTACCTCCAGGACCTCTCTTGATCCACCCAATTCCCAATTCTGTCATCTCTGCCACCTGCATCCTAATGTAAGCTGGCAGTTCCTCACACCTGTTCTTGCCAAAACTCAAACAAGCCAAAGTTCCAAATTCTTCAAATGAGAATGACAGAGGTAGGCCAAGCATGGTGGCCACACCTATTGGCCCAGGATTTGGGAAGTGGAGACAAGAAGATCAGTAGTTGAAAGTCATCCTCAGCTATACAATGAATTTAAGGCCAGCTTGGGCTGCATGAGACCCTATATTAAAAAACAGAAACAAACAAACAAAATTGCAAAAAGGATATATTTTCTTATAAAGAAGAAGAGAGGGTTGGTGGTCTCCTCCAGGCTAAGGAAGAAATTTCATATGTTGAACTAAAAACAAATGTCAGGTCTGGAGAGGCAGCTCAGGGTCAAGAGCATGTGCTGCTTTTGCAAAGGACCAAAGTCACATCAGGCTGCTCACAGCTGTCTGTAATGCCACCTCCAGGAGAATCAGATGTCTCTGTCCTCTGCAGACATGCACACACATATGCAAATGCCTCCACAACATACACATACAAATAATAAAAAATAATAGAAAACAAATGTGATTTTTTACTTTTCCCTATTAGGGCAAACAACTAGCAATGTAGACATTTTGGAGGTTAAAAGCCACAGTTACAAAGCAGAACCACCATCTCCAAAGTGCAGGCACCTTAGAAAGCACCTTGCCAGAGAAAGCATTTTCAAAGTCAGATTTGGGATGTGGAGAGTGTCTGCTTTTGTTCCACTGCAAAGGAAACAGACAACATTTACTGGCTGTTAGAAAGACCTACGGTTTCCAGATCAAATAGTATACCTTGATTAGTAAATACCAAGGAGGAAAACTCACCTAAGCAACCTGAGACCCTGGAAAACAAATGACAGGAAGAGGAGCATGTGCCAAATGCTGCCTGGAAGCTGCCACTGCTTTTCCTGGCCTAGCTGTTCTCCAAGTCCTGGGACCTTGATTACGCCACTCCTCTGCTTAAGTCACATCCTGGCCTACAGGACCCATTGCCGAGTAGACTCAGCCCTTCTGGAATGAGGAGGTCCTGTACCCTCCAGCTGAGCTCCTGTTCTGCCTCCTGCCTAGCTGCTTTTCCTTCAGATCTCAGAAGCTCCATGTACCTTCCCGATACACGCTGCCCCCATTCTTGGAATGTTGTCCCTCCATACCTGACTCACTGCTGTTCACCTGTCAGATCTCAGATTAAACATTTTCCTTACAGAGAAGCCAGTTTTGAATACTCCCCATGCCTTGAAAATGATGATATCTTCCTGTCGTATCCTTTGATAGCACCATAAACTTTTAGGACACTCACCACAATTTATAGTTTTTGCTCTTCGTCTTATATTTGTCTCCCTTCCAAACTAAAAAGTTCACAAAGGTGGGAACAGCTTCTGACCTTTTCCTCTCTCCCTCCTTCCTATTCCCTTCCTCTCTTCCCTCTCTTTTCCTTGCTAACCCTCCCTCCATTCCCTTCTCTGCCTTTACTCCCAGCCCTCCCCCGGTGCACCCCCCTCCTCTCTTTGACATACTCTGTGTAGCCTAGGCTGGCTACACACACACACAGTCCTCACCCTCCTGATGCTGGGGTTACAGGCATATACCACCAAACCTGATATCTGATCTTTTTCAGCACAGTATCATCATCTATAACACTTCATAAAAATTGTACCGATTAACATTTTCTAAATGCTTACAATGTTCCTCACCACATTCAGGCTGCTTTAAGGGTATCCACATCATTTAACAAATTTACCTAGTGATGATTTGTGATGATCAGGGAAACAGGTGCTAGGCACAAAAACAGACCGAAGTAGCTGTCATTTTAATGAGGAGACACAGAAATCAGGGTGGTAAATAGCTTATATGCGATATTGTAAAGTGTTATGTGTTAAAGAGAAAGAATACAAGCAAAGGGGGTGTGGCAAGGTCTTGAGATTATTTTCCCAGTTTTCATAGAACTAGAAATAAAAACTTGCTCAAAATCCAAGACCTTGGTTATACAGTAGCAGATCTGAGATTTACACCTAGCTTTTGACACCACAGATCTAATTAACCATTGTACTTTTCCACACCCCAGATAGGTGCTCAATAGATTTGGTCAATTCTATGTGTAGAATTGTAAGTGTGTAGCTCAGTGGTAGAATACTTGCCTAGCATACACTAGGCTCTTGGATAGATACCCAGTTCTAGGAGGTGGGGTTTTGACAGAAGAAGGGATCAGTTCAAGGGTTGCTTGTATTATTCAGAGGCCTGAGTGTTGATAATTAGGGCAGACCCATTGGGATGTAGACTATCGGTTTTCCAAGTATGCTTTGTAGGGACTTGCAGCCTAAAAAGGTCCTTTAAGTGTCAACCTGAGAAGTGAAGGAGACAGCCCCTCTCCTGCCTCTGGCCAGAACAACCATCTTTTTATCCATTTAGTATGTTGGGATTCTGGGGGGCATGTCTTCAATGGCAGTGGTGGAAGTGGCTAGTTTAGCCCCTCATTCAATTGAAGTGGAGACTGAGCTTGAGAATGGTAACATGACATATTCAGAATTGTAGAGCCAGCAAGGAGCTTGCATATGACACCTGTGTCCGGACCCTATGCTCTCTCCACACTAATGCTATTAACAACCATGGACACCAGAGGGGAAGATTAGGACTGTCAGGATAGCACTGAGAATTCCAACTGATCCCATTTCCTCTTCTGGACACAGAGCTGAGCTTTATTTCCCAATATTCTTTTCATTTGTTTTTCAGTATCCCTTGAAATTACATAAGGCCTGGTTGATTTATTGCCAATAGAATGTGAGTATATGTGACAGGCTTTGTTTTAAGGCCTGGCCCATAAATTCCTCCCACATGAGGTCACCTTTATCTGCTTGACTCGGGGGATGCCACATGTTGGAAGTGACAGAACTATGGGCAAGGAGCCTGGATCCCAAGTCACCACTTGGAAGAGAGCGGTCACACTATCCTAAAGTTCAAAAGTATCTTAATGCTTGAATCCTTTAACTTTCTGTTTCTTTCCTCTAAACTATGTTCAAGTTTTTAAAAATTCCAGATACCTTCAGAATCACTTTGTGAAGACAAAGACTCTTCTAGATAGAAAACCAAGGAAAACAACTCCTAAACCGATACATGACCACATCAAAATTAGTGCTGTAGTGTTAATCCTGTGGCTTCCCCCATGTTAGGCAAATTCCTCCACCACTTAGCTGCATTCCTAACCCCAAATTTTCACTTTTAGATGTCAAAATACAGAAACAAAAATTAAAGGTAAATGACAAAGTGGGATGAAGAACTCGTATATATCACCTACAGTTTAAAGTATAATGGATTTTTAAAAGATTTATTTATTTTATTTTATGTGGATGGTGTTTTGCCCAATGTGTGTCTGCACACCACCTGTGTGCTTTGTGCCTGTGGAGGCCA